CCCCAAAACCCCAAAACCCCAAAACCCCATGGATTAATAGATACTTAGATCCTATGAATGGAAATATTTAATAAATTTAGTAAAGTAGAGCAACTAAAAATATGGGTAACAATATTTTTTCGTCGAATATTCATCCTTCAGATAGTCGAGAAAATCTATATCCAGCATAAAGAGAGACTAATAATGATGATTAAAAGTCTGATTAAAATGAAGATTCAAGTCATTAGCCTGTATAAGAAGTAAGCAGTTTATTAGATCCAGAGCAATCTCAAGCTATTTAAAATGAAGATAGCAAAAACAATGCAGATGCAGATTAAAATGATTGGGAAGATGAAAGTGGGGACTATGATGAAGATGATGAAGAAGATCTAGATGAATTAGTTTAAGAAGTAGAGGCCACTTAATCAAATGAGTTAACTAGTGAAGTTAATAAATAGTAAGAAGAAGAAGAGTCAAAGATAATGAAGCTAGGCTGCTAGCATTATAAAAGAGGGTGCTAAAAGAAATGTCCTGAATGCAAAGAGTTCTTTACTTGCAGATTCTGTCATGATGATGCAAAGTACCTCAATGAAAAAGATGTTAAAAAGTCTCATCAAATCGATAGACATGCAGTCTAAGAAATCAAATGCTTATAATGTGGCACTGAGCAAAAGGTAAAATATCATGATCTAAATTTCTCTAATAGGTTCAATAAATTTGCGAATCTTGCGGACTTTGCTTTGCAGGATATTTCTGTGCTATTTGCAAATTTTTCGATGATGAGTTTGTGAAAAAGAAAATCTTTCATTGTGATAAATGTGGAATCTGCAGAGTTGGAGGAATAGAAAATAATTACCATTGCGATATTTGTGGGTGCTGCTACTAGTTGGCGATGAAAGACTCTCATAACTGCAAGCCTTAAAGGCTGAATAATGACTGCGCTGTATGTATGGAGGATTTATTCTCTTCCAGAGATCCCTCAGTCTTCCTTAGATGTGGCCACTCTTTGCATTCAAAATGCTACAGCACTTATATCAGAAGGAATATTATGTGTCCTATCTGTAGGAAATCTATAATTGATCCTAAGGCATTTGAAGCATAAATGGATATGGAAATAGCAAGCACACCCATGCCCGAGGAATATAAAGACACTAAAATAATGGTTTAGTGTAATGATTGCAGTGCTAAAAGTGAAGTTAATTTCCATGTTTTAGGAGCAAAGTGCACTCAATGCAACTCATACAACACTAGTTAGATTTAGAAATGAAATCGACATTAAATCTAATTAATTAGATCTTATTTATCTGATTAAATATTGAACTTTCAAATCATTTCTTGATTCTTATAATAGATTTTAATTTTTTTACGATCTTAAAACTATATTCCTTCATATTTGCATGATGGGGTTTTGGGGTTTTGGGG